TGCATTGATACGAAAATTTTATGTATTAACGCATGCACTTATGCATTGGCTCATATCTATTTTATATTGGCTCATATCTGTTTGGTATTGGCTCATATCATCTCTTTGCTCCTGGAAATCAAAATCAACTCAGTATGAGTCGACGCATAAGGGTTTGTATTGACTCATACTGCTTTGTATCGACACATGCGTGTTTTGTATCGACTTGTACTTATTTCTTGCTCTTGGAAGCAAAAACAACTCAGTATGAGTCGACACATAAGGGTTTGTATCGAATCATACTACTTTGTATCAACACATACGCGTTTTCTATCGACCCATAACCTATTTTGTACATAATATGTGTCGACTCATAGTGTTTCGTATCGACTCATACTGTTGTTTTTTACTTTTATCATTGTTCTGGTACATGTAAAAGTCAGTTCTCAACACATGGTTAGTGAAAATGAAAAGCAAGAAAATGGTTAGCTTCAAGATAATGATATCTACATTTTATCTTCACAAATTAACCATTAATGATGCTTTTTATGAAGAGCTCAAAGTCAATAAAACTTACCCTGAAACTGAAATTTGTGCTTTGAGTTTCAGTTGGAGAGGTCAAGTTGCAGGTGGCTGTTTTTGAGTTTGGAAAATAGTGATGTTACAGAAGTTGCTCTTGAGTTTGAACAACTTTTATATGATGTATGTGGAGTGTTTGGATGGTTTGTTTGGACAGAACTTGTAAGGTGTGAGCGGTTCAAAGATTTGGACTTCAAAACTCAAGAGTTGAGGTTTTATGGACAGTTATGTTTTTTTTTTGTGAGTAAAGGGGGTTTTGAGGATTTTCAACACACAATAAGTTCTCTATTTTTCTGGTCCTTTTATTTTTCAAATTCTCTCTCTATTTATAGGCAAGAGGTTTGGGAACAAGAGCTGATTAGGTTTTCAAGACAACATGTTATGGTTTGGTTGGGATGCAAATATCAAACTATGTTAAGTATTCCATGGTCGCAAGATGAAGTACCAAATTTGCTGGTATAGAGGAGACACCTTCCATGATTTATGGTGGAGTATAATAAGAAGCAAATAAGGTATTGGATCAAGACAAATTTTGTACCAAAAGCTTGCTTTTCAAGAATAGCAATGGTGCCTTTATGCCATAAATGGAAAGATCTTTTGGACAATGGCTCAAACATTTGGGTAATAGATCAAGAGTAGGTGTAAGCATTAAATTATGGTGAGATTGGAAAGTTAGAAGTCCTGCAACACAATATTATGCAGCATAGCATAAGGATTTTGTAATGTGTTCTTCAACAAAAGGACTTGCAATTCAAGGATGGATGCTCAACTTCATGCCCTTGAATCTCCTAGATCAAGTATGATAAATTCATGCTCTTGGATGTTATGGAAAGATTGAAACATGCTCTATGACTTTCATGTTGGCCATTTTGATAAAATCATCTTGGAACTATGTGAAAAAATTCCAAGAAGTTGGGATAAAATCCTGACTAAAATCTGTTGAAAATTTCTCTAAGTGCTAGATGAAAATATCATGTCTGCATGGGCTTATATCTTCAAATCTAAGCATTTTTTGGATATCAACCCTCTAATACAAATTTGTATAATTCATCAAGATCTACAACTTTCATGTTAAAAGTTTCCTTTGAATCATTTTGCATCATGGTGAAAAATTGGTATGAAGTTATGAAATAAACATGTGCAAAACACTTAGAAAAATTTCTAAGTCTTGAAAAGTTTGACTTTTCAAATTGACTTTTGACTTGCTTGACTTTTTGATGATCAAGCTTGATATTCTTGAATGTCTTGATGAATTTTGATATTTGAGACTTAATGTTGACCAAAAAGTTAAAGTTTGACTTTTGGCATATCAGTCGACTTTTCATCAGTATCACTGATTTTTGGTCATCTGGTCAATTGACTGAGCAGAATTTGTGAAACAAGACTTGAAACTTGACATGGGCATTCTTGAAGGTCTATAATGATCCATGAAAGTCATTTGAAGTATTAGAAGTCCAATTGTCCTTGTGCAAGCTCAAACCCTAATTTTGAGGTATCAATGTTAATGAGATGGCTTAACCTAGTCAATAATTGTACAAGCTTGAGCTTTTAAAGATCTTTGTGAGAAATGTCTTGTGAAAAGATATGGGAATTTTTTTGGTACAATAGGTCTGTTGGAAGTACTCAGAACGCCCCCCATAACTTAACAGATGAACAAAATATCCTGAAATACTGAAATCAATGTCGCAACCCAACATGGGTCGTGTCAGGCAACACAGGTGCCCGTGTTGGACCTATGGGAATTTGTATTTTATTTTATGATACAGACCTTTTGACACGGGTCGTGTCAGTTGAAACAGGCGCCTGTGTCAGCCCCCTGACATCCCATTTCCTTTGTCTTGTCTAATCCTTCATCCTGACATGGCCCGTGTCAGGTGACACAGGTGGCCGTGTCAGACCTCCTGTAGGTGGATATTTGTATTTCTTCCAAAAATCCGAGTTTTGCATCGATTTATTCTTTTGAACCAAAAAACACTAAAACATAAAACCAAAGCGTAATATGCGATAAAACAAAATAAAACCTCGACAAGTAAAAGAAATGATAACTACAATAAGTGCTAAATATTTGTGTAAAATCCACTGATCAACTCCCTCAAACTTAAATTGTTGCTTGACATCAAGCGGCCATTACAAGAACGTATGAAAAATCACAGCAGACCGGTACTCATACGTGAGACATCCATTCCAATTGATAAAAAAGAAGTTCGTCTTATGTTCACATGATGCGAAGAGTTTGTTTAAGAACCTTTAAATATCGAGCTTCCTCTTCACATACCTCTCTAAATATGATTTGTACTTAAGTCTCTTTCCGATTTTCCTCCTTTTTTATGCAGACGGTCAAGTTAAGGCAATGAGAATTATGATGATCATCACATGCATAAGATTAATCAAGAATGTTTGTTTAGGCACCAAATAAGAAGAATGACTACTTTTAATTACCGATGAAATTTTCAAACTTTGTAGTTATATATTGTCCTTTTGAATGATGTTTGGGGATCATACCCCTTTGGTCTGAATAATTGGTGAGGGCTAACCAATTGAGCGAGTCGGTTGACTTTTAATGCCTTTTCATCATTTGGTGCCAGCTTTATTTATTTCTCAACCAATCACCTGCATGTGAATCTAGATTACGCTAAACTGTAATGATAAACTACTCAAGGAGTACTTCTTAGGATTCAAGCACTATGGTACAGATCTACATGTTAGACTCATATTCTTATCACGTTATTCTGAACTTCTCACCCTTAACCAATCATTTCTTTGTCTCTATATACTATTTCCGATCACCATGAAATACACGCTCTTGAGCAAAACGAGAAAAAAATTCAGTCAAAATTTGGGAAAGATTTCAACTCGTGGATTTACACAGCAATTAACATAAGAAAAGCATTAAGAATAACAGTAAAGTAACCCCCCACCCCCCCAAACTTGAAGTAAACATTGACACCAATGTTTCAGAACAAGCGCGAGGAAGGTGACGCGTAGAGGAAAATGCAACACCAACTGCTGCCTCCTAGCTTTCCCCAGTAAGACTCCCTTTTTATTACCTGCAACAAAACAAAAAGAAAAACTAAGTTATTAAAAGCGTTGGTTGCCTCCTACGAAGCGCTTTGTTTAATGTCGCATGCATTGCAACTAGTTTTTAAATCAGAGTCGCCACCCTTAATTTTTATCCTAATGGAAGGGAGTATAAAGGAATAACCCTAAAGTTCAGAGATTCTAGATTTGAACTCGGTTCTAGACAAGGGAAAGGTGTTAGGAACCCCTCCTCTACCTTGTTCACAAGGATACAAGGTTTAGAAGCGCGGTGTTTAGGAATAGGGTTTTTATATATTATTAGGGAAAAGGGTTTGAATTTTAGTTAGGGGGACTCGCCATGAATTTGATTGTATGCCTACGTATCATCTTATGAGGAATCAGAGTCTTATTTTGTAGTTCGCCGTTTGTTTTGTATTTTTTATGGATTACAAAATATATTTGAATTTCCTGCATACGTAGTCTAAGTTGTGAATGGCAGATTTTGTTAGATCAAGTGTGCAGTTAATTTAAATATGTTCATATTCCTTTCCAAAAATTAATTGTTCGAATTAATTTAATTTGCGAAAAAAAGATTTGGTGTTTGGTTGAATACTTTTTATACGTAGAGTAAAGGAGTCTGATATAGTCTCCTCATCACGTGGCCAGATATTGGTTGTGTGTTGCTCGCGGATGGTGAATTTGGTGAGTAAATTTTAATCGTTTGATTTTGAATAATAAACCGGTAGATGATGCGTTGATCGATTTAATTACTTGAAGATGGACATCCTATTATTATAGAAGGTTTGAATTAATTAATTATGAAAAGCCTTTTGAATATGTGCAAAGTTTATTAATAATAATATTTTTTGTGATATCCTTTTGTATGGCTAATATAACCTAAATTAGTCTAATAAAACTAAATTAAAAAAAACTTAAACAAATAAAAGGGTGCACTAATGAATTAGGGATGGTGTGAAGTTAGTAAAAGAGTAGATAATTTGAGCCCAAGACTCATTACTATCAGTAAACCCTAATTTTTTATTGATAAATATGACAAAAATAAAAAAAATACATAGTGTGTCATAAAAGAAAGGAGGAGGCGGACTACACACACCACCACATTGGAAAGTTTTTTTTATCATAGTTTTTTATACCTTATAACCACTTAGAACCCTACACATGGAATTTGTTAATATAAAAAAAAAAAAATATATAATTTATACAAAAAAATGAGTCATCAGTTTTATATTCACACAGAATATCCTCTTTCTCTCTTACAACAACGTTTCTTCTCTCTTCTTTTCATGATGACCTCCATCTTTCTATATTCTTTAAAACAACCCAAACCCAATAAGAATAACATCCAAAACAATAAAAACAATATGAAGAACCTGGCACGGTGAATCGATGGTGGGAGATTAAGCATGGTGGTCGGGTGGGTTGCGACAAGTGCGGTCGGATATCTGTCGGGATCTGTGGTGTGGCGGTGTTGGGAGATTGGCGGAGGGAGTTTAGTAAAGAGTTACGATCATCAGAGGGAGACAAAGATCGCTGGGATCAGAGTGCGTGGTTGCTTTGATCTGTGGGATGCGGCGGAGAAGCTTCAGACGCGGGTTTGGCGATGGTTGCAGGAGATTGGAGTTCGGTATTTAGATGATGATAATGAGTGAAGGGAGGATACTGTGGGTTTTCGGTTGTGAATGTTGAAATAGCAGCGATAGAGGGAGAAGATGAAGCACTGAGAACGAACGAAGTTGATTGGGTTTACGTATTAAATATGGAATAAGCTTGGAGACATGGTACGGAAGCAACAGGTTGTTGTTGGTGTTCGATAACGGTGGTGGATGTATGGAAGGAAGTTAAAGATAATGACAGTGAAGCTATAATTCTTTTTTTCTTTTCGTCTTCCCTTTTTTTGTTCTGTCAGGATTTTTATATCCTTTCTTAGAGATATATAAATTTGGAAATAACTTTAATTTGTCTGTAATATCCTAATAATCTTGATTCTGTATTGATTATGAACAATCCATTTTCATATGCGTTTGATTTAGTTTCTGTTTCTGTGAAATGAATGAAGAAATATTTTTTGATTTCCAATTATTAGTACCATTAAATCTGTGATTATTTCCTTTCATGATTCACACAGTTTCATTTTTTTTCAAGCAAGCCTTTTGAATTCACACAGTAACCGTTTATTAGGTTTTGGGCCACATTCGGGTCTGCTTGACAAAACATTTTGCTCCTAATGGACTGATCAATAATTTTAGATATATAATTAAATAAAATAACTGTTTTCAAAATAGTAAAAAAAACTCGAAATGGGCTTTAACGCATTTGGACTGTTTTTTATACTCAATGTCAGATTTGGCCCGAAAATGGATCATAACAAAAAAGCCTCTTCATCAAAAACCGATAGATTAAAATTAAAGTGTAATACTTAATAGCTATAATAAGCATCAATGTTATTGTTCTGGACTGGGCCCGACTGACCCAATAGCATTGATAAGGCCCAATCCAAACGGACTTGCTGGGGGCCACGCCGACCAAAGGATCACAGTCGTGCCCGACGCGCTCTCTGGGACTACTTGCTCGACCTCCTGTTGTCCAGCTCGACCTCACCTCGAGCACCCCTCTTAGGGCGAACTCAGTCCACTGCACCCTCAACGGGACTCCGAGAAGACCGCGTCTCTGTCCGCCAGCACTTCACGCAGAACATCCAGGGAGGGGACCACGTGCGGGTCCCCACTACGCACGTAGAACCTGGCAGTTCCTCCATTGGGCCAAACCTGCCCGGCCCAATGAAGGAACCTTGGCTCAGCGCTGGGGGCTATAAATACCCTCTATTTCCAGAGGGTCAGGTATTCATCATTCTACCCATACTCTTACTATTGCCTGCTCGTGCTCTTACTCACTTCAGCATCGGAGTGTCTTGCAGGTACCCCCCCCCCCCCCCCACCTCGTTCAAAACTTCAGCTCGGAGCCAGTCGTGACGGTCCAAGTCTGATCAGGTCAGATCAGTGGCGCCGTCTGTGGGAAACTAGCTTCCCCGTCTTGCAAACTCAAAGACCAAAGCTCAAATTCAATTACCGGTCATGACTGATCAAGCTCGCGACGAGCAGAACGTCCGTGTCGCCGACACTAATAACGGCACCGCGGATAAAAACGGACATCTTGACAACGCCGGCAATCCCGGCCACAACACCATCCCTGCAACAACCGCCCCCGGAACTTCCTCCTACAGGGACGGAGCTACTGCATCATCCTCCTCGCTCCCACCACCACTCGAGGACGACCCGGCGGCCCTCGCCCACTACAGAGCCGCCCGGTTCCAGGAAGTCCCCATCCCCTCCGGGGCGGATGCCACAACACAAGCGTTGTTCGCAGCAATTAATCAAACGAACTATCTCATCTTCGCCCAAGGAGAGAGATTAAAGGCGCTTGAAGACGAGCGAAGACCCCCGAGGAGGCATCGGAGACCACATACTCCCCCTCCTCGAGTGACTGAAGCTCGACACCCCTCTCCCCCGCGGAGACACTACAGGGAGACCTCTCGAAGCCCATCTCCCCGGCCAAAACAGAGACGGCCTTACCTGGAGAGGCAGCCCATCATTCAGGCCGGAGAGCCCAGTCGCGACCCGGCGGTACTAGAAAGAAGGCACTCCGGAGATGGGCGCGTGAAATTCAACAGTCGAGCATCCCGCTCGAGAGAAACTCAGCACGATCTGGACCGTCGTGCCAGACAATATTATAGGTCCCCATCTCTGTCTCCGGAGAGAAGCGACGAGGACGACCCCCGCGGTCCCCTGTCGCAGGCTATTATGGAGGCACCCATCCCCCCGGGCATGGAGAAGCCCCCTCACTTGAAGGAGTACGATGGAGTCGCGGACCCGGTCGACCACATAGACGGGTTCGAGGCTATGCTTCACTATCACAATGTCGGGGGCCCCATCAAGTGCCGTTTATTCCCCACGACTCTCAGAAAGGCGGCAATGGACTGGTACAAAGGACTCGCCCCGGGCTCAATTACGTCGTGGCGGAACCTGAAGAACCAGTTCATCAGTTCCTTCACAGCTTCTCGGCGCCATCCGAAGACCGAGGCGGCCCTCGAGGCCATCATCCAAAGACAGGATGAAACCTTGAGGGAATTCATCAATCGCTTCAACCGGGAAGCAATACAGGTCCCCTGCGCGGACCATATGAAAAGATACTTGCTGGAGAGAGGGCTCCTCCCCAGCACAGAATTCAGAAAGGCCGTGGGTATCGAGCCACCTCGGACATTTGATGCCCTCCTCGAAAAGGCCCGAGCATACATGGACTACGAGGAGAGGGAGGTGGCCAACAGAGCCCGAGATTCCAGGACTCGTGGTCCCAACAGCAGCTCGCGCCAAGAGGCTCCTCCTCGACGAACCGGGGAGAAAAGGAAGGAAGACAGACCCCGGGAAGTCCGGGAACAAAGAGGACCTTCGGGGCGTTTCACCGAGTACACTCCGCTCACGGCTTCCTGCGAGCGCATCCTGGCGGAGTGTGCCAGCACCGATTTCAAGGACGACGGTGTCAAACGTCCCCGACCTGCTCCCGCTAAGCCCGGAGCAGACAAAAATAAATACTGTCAGTACCATAGGAGCCATGGTCACTTGACTGAGGATTGCATCCACCTCAAGGACGCCATTGAAACCTTCATCAAGGGAGGGAGGCTCGCACAGTACCGGCGAAGCGACGCTCCCCGTCGTGACGCCCAAGAAACCAGAGAGCCAGAAGAAGACGCCCGACCATCTGACGAGTCGGTGCCCATCCAAACTGCCTTCTCTGTGACCAGGCCCGAGGATTTCGACTTCCCCGAGCACCTGCAAGAGCCACTTACAACGCACAGCAGGTGGGAATACTTCCCCTCCGCTCTGGTAATCAACGGCGGCGGGTTCAATGACTTGACCATCAATTCAGCCAAGAGGAAGCTGGACGAACTGGTCGACGCGGCTCCCCCGCAAACAGTGACGTTCGAAAGGGTGAAGGGCAGGTCAGAGCCCATCACCTTCTACCTGGAAGAACTCCCCGGTGGAGCCCCGAACGCGGTCATCCCCTTGCTGATAAGGGAAAGAATGGCCAATTTTGATGTACATCGCATCCTGGTCGACGAAGGGAGTTCCGTCGATGTCATGTACAACCAACTGTTCCGGACCCTTCAGCTGGACGACTCACATCTTTCTCCATATGTGGGTTCGGACTTACAAGGTTTCAATGGCTCAACCTCCAAACCCTGGGGATATGTCGAGCTTCTGGTTACGTTCGGGGAAGGGACGACTACAAGACAAGTCAAAGTACGCTTCCTTGTCATCGACTGCCCGTCTCTATACAACTGCATCTTGGGAAGGCCGACACTGGCAGAGCTAACGGCGGTACCCTCGACCGTCCACCTGAAGATGAAGTTCTACACCAAGAGGGCACGGGTAGCCACTATCCAAGGAGACCTAGCCGCTGCCCGCAGGTGCTTCAACGCCGCTTCTAAGGTACGTGATACCGTCGACATAGGGACTAGACCCGCCAAAAGGACAAGACATGAGCCCGACAGGAAAGCATCCCCCGAGGAAGAAGTCCAGAAAGCTCCACCAAAAGTCGATTCCATAGCTCTGGACACCCGCTTCGACCAGGACGAGCCATCCAGCAGCGAGCAAATCCCACTCCGACCAATACCGGACGGGGATTTTGAACTCGTCCCCCTCGGCACAGACCCGACCAAGGGAGTGAAGATTGGCAAAGACCTCCCCGACTTGGCCAGGAAGCAAATCAAGGCCTGTCTGCGCGAGAATGTTGATCTGTTCGCCTGGAGCGCCGCGGAGATGCCCGGACTCGACCCTGAGGTCGCCTGTCACCACCTCGCCATTGATCCAGCCGCTAGGGCCGTAGTACAACGTAGGCGTAGGCAGTCTCCAGAAAAAACGGAGGCTGCTGAAAAAGCTGTAAAAGACCTCCTAGAGGCAAATTTTATTTCTGAAGCCCGGTATTCCACCTGGCTGTCAAATGTTGTACTCATGAAAAAGAATAATGGAAAATGGAGGATATGCATTGATTATACCGATCTCAACCGGGCTTGCCCGAAAGATTCTTTTCCCTTGCCTAACATAGATATGCTGGTCGACAACTCGGCCGGCTACAAAACGTTGTCGTTCATGGACGCCTACTCGGGCTATAACCAAATCCCGATGGCCCTGGGCGACAAACACTGCACGGCATTCATGACCAGCTCGGGCAACTATTACTACAACGTAATGCCCTTCGGACTGAAAAATGCCGGGGCAACTTACCAGCGCATGATGAACAGAGTTTTCGACAAACAGATCGGCGACATGCTCGAGGTATACATGGACGACATGATCGTCAAGTCCCGAGCAGACACCGACCACGCAGAACACCTCAAGACAGTCTTTGCCCAAGCAAGACAATGTAAAATGAGGTTCAACCCCGAGAAATGTACGTTCGGGGTTAAGGCAGGAGAATTCCTTGGATTCTATCTAACAGAACAGGGAATCAAAGCCAACCCCGACAAATGCCGCGCATTCTCCGACCTCCCAACACCAACGTCGAAGAAGTCGATACAAATCATGAACGGCATGCTCACGTCGCTATCCCGCTTCGTCACGAGATCCGCTCAGCACACCTTCCCCTTCTTCAAACT